ATGGATTGGGGATTGGGTAATCTGATCTTAGCACTCTTTCTATTTTATAGTCTACAATTCTTGATTTTCTGTCTAAAAAAAGAGACATTTTACAACCACAGACAGAATAGAACAATATGCAAAACAGCAGTTTAGCAAATGTTTATTGCTTCAAATGGAATTATCTTCCTTCCATAAGACAACTCCTCTGTTAACAGAAGGATATGTCCAATTAATATTTCAATTGTCAGAAACTTTAGTTTCTGGACTGATGTTAAAGAAACTTGCTGTAGAAACCACAGAGAATGCGAGCTTTACTCAAGCTTTATTTTCTTTATTCTTAAAGTGCACCTATTTTCCCAGCTTCCCAGACAGAGCACATGTGACTGGCTATGACAGTTCTTTAAAAAAAAAAAAAATCTTGAAAATGTGGTGTTACATGTACTAGGTGATGAATATGGATTGGGGATTGGGTAATCTGATCTTAGCACTCTTTCTATTTTATAGTCTACAATTCTTGATTTTCTGTCTAAAAAAAGAGACATTTTACAACCACGACAGAATAGAACAATATGCAAAACAGCAGTTAGCAAATGTTTATGCTTCAATGGAATTATCTTCCTTCCATAAGACAACTCCTCTGTTAACAGAAGGATATGTCCAATTAATATTTCAATTGTCAGAAACTTTAGTTTCTGGACTGATGTTAAAGAAACTTGCTGTAGAAACCACAGAGGTGCATTTGAGGGTATCACAACCGGGAGATTATAGTACAAGAAAAACAGTGGCATTCCAACTGCATTGATGTTAAATGTAAAATATATAAAATCCATATCTTTTGTATTTTCTCCACTTTTATATTCTAAAATGCACTGTTATCTTTTTCTTGTGGAAATAAAGTTTCTGAGAGAGAGAGAAGGAGCAAATTCCTGAGTAAAGTGTAAATGCCTGGTATTCTTGAACCTCTTCCTGTATTAGGTTTCTAATGTCAGGGGTTAATTGGGGATAAAAAATAACAAGCAAGTGATAAACAAAAAGTGGAAAGAGCTATTCAGCACAAGTGCTTGCTTTCTCCTGTCAATTCTGAAAGGGCTGGCAGTCTCCTTTCCTCATTACAGTGGCCATGACTTCTGTATTTCCTGCTTGGTTCTGTGGATGCCTCCCATAGAGGTTTATTCTCCTCCTGGATTACATGTGTCATCTGTGACTCTTTGTCACTATCTGTGCTTTCTGCAGTGCACAGGGTAGGCCTGTTCCCCGTGGACCACAAAATCCTCTTTTGTGGAGATTGGGCCATAGCATATGTTGTGAAACAGCTTTCGACATTTGTCACTGCTCAGCAGGCCCTGGGGGAGGTGTTTATTGTGCAGCCATGGGGTAACCTCCTGGAAACCCGTGAGTATTTCAAGGATGGCCGACCGTTGTCTTCATGTTCCAGTACCCTCATGACCAGATGACAGAGCCAAAGGTAACAGGAAATGGCAGAATTAAATATTCTTTATGAATTTTAATATTCAACTTGAAATCAGTACTGCATTTAGAAAAACAAATCACCTAAATTGGGGAGTTTTTGCTGTGATACTGCACCCCACACTTCAGTGGACCATGCTTGGGGAGCACAGATAGGTGTTCCGGGAGCCAGGGCCCCTGTGGCTCCAGAGGAGGGATGAAGAACCCACCGGTGTGTTTAGTAGCCCTCCCACCTTCTGTTGGACCCCACTGCTTCACTGCTCCTTTTGACCTTGTCCTCCCACTGTGACTCACAGCTGGAGGAGAGAGCAGCTTTGACCTGGAGCCATCATAGATGCTGGGTGAAGATAAAAGATAACACCAACAAAAAACTAGGGTGGGTGGTGGGAACGGGGGGAACCCAGAGGGAAAAGCCCTCGTGGTCACATTTGCATTCCGGTCCCAAACTCCACAACAGCAACCTTCCAGTACCTCAACCTTAGAAGAAGGATTCCTACGCAGGTGCGACCTATCCACTCTATGTTCTTGAAGATGGCCATTCATGGCCAGGGTTAATGAACATTTTTTAATGTATTTATTGGCTATTTGTACTTCTTCCGAGAATTTTCTGTTCATTTGTCCATTTCTTAATTGGATTTTTTGGAATTGGTTCTTTTGGAAATCCCTTCATACAATTCATAATTTAAAAAAACTTACAAAAAAAGTTGGTGTCCCCCCAAACACCCCCCTAACCCCCCCCACCCCTGCCATTTCCAATACCATAGTCCATGTTCTGACACCTCCTTCCCACTGTTCCCCAAAGCTTTCACACAGCTGGGAGCCCTGCAGAAGTAAGGTTCTGGGGAGAAGGACTGAACCTCACCCCCTCTTGGTGCCCCTGGAGTGGAACCCAGGCGTCTGACCCGCTGTCTGGTGGTGTGGACGGAGTTCTACTCGGGCCCGCCCCGCACAGCCCAGCGCTGCCCACCGGTTGGGTGCTGTCCCTGCGCGCGCCTCTGCTGCGGCCGGGCGGTTGGGACGCGCTGGCTCCTTCCTGCGCACCAACCCAGCGGGTGCTTTGCCTTCGATGCTCCAGGAAGCGGCCACTGTAGGAGCCTCTTCCATCTGCACCTGTTGTAGCTAGCGATCCCGCTCATCCTGCTGCTGGGGGACTCACCGGGCTGCAGCGTGGGTCACCTTTTTGCCGGAGACATCGCAGATGGATGCCATCTATGGAGATCTCTTTTGGTGCCTGGACTATGACGAAGATGAAATGCTGGACATCTTTGAACTTCATGAAGGCCTGGAGGATGTAGATTTCCACCAGTCCCTGGAGGATGAGCAGGTGGGCTTCACTGGGGCTCTGATCTGAGGAATGCTGGGGCCGGGGGAACCCTGGTGAAGCCTCAGGCAGAGAGCTTGACTTCTAATCAGACCGTTTATTAACGTTTTTGTTTCTGTTGAGAATAACCCAACACTGCTAATGCTCTCAAGAATTTTCCTGTTTTCTCCTGGTTATAATAAAATTTCAACTTCCGATCACTCTCCAGTTATTGGCTATAATTTTGTGCTGTAGGGGAACCTGTTCAAGGCTCTCACCTGTCACTTGTAGCTAAGATGGGTATCTAGGCCGAAGATACTTCCTTCTGGGTTTGGGAAACTAGGCGTATATTTGGCTGCTGAGGGGAGGCTGTTGGAAATTCTCCATGTCATGTTTTGGTTTCTGATCCTGGAAGAGGAGCAGTGTGAGTGGCTTACACTCTTGGAGTTCACCAATGCTGAGGTGTCACCCTACTGTGCGTTTATTGTCAGACCTTTATTCTCAAGACCTCATTCCTTTGTGAACTCTTCTCTTTCCCAACAGTCTAGATTACAGCCCCTTCTCAGTATGTGCTGCCTCCCGCAGAATGCTAGCCCAGGATTTGCAAGTTATTTTCTCTTTGGAAATTATTATCGCATCTAATTATTGCTTTCTGATTATATTTGTTCTTTGGATGTTTGACCCACTACACTGGGAGATCCATGGGATATGGATATTTGGTACTTTGTGTTCACAAAAATGTCTGTTGAGTTCTGTCATGTTAAGATTTCATTAAATTCTTCCTATTAGCCATGTCAGCTTTAGGAATCTTAAAGCATCCATTCGTCATCAATCAGTTGTATTTTGAGCACACTCCATGCACCAAGCCCTGTGTCTTGGTTTCTTCCTATTTTGCTATGGTTTGGATAAGGTTCCCCCAAAGGCCCATGTGTTAAAGGCTTGGTCCCCAGCCTATGGTACTACTGGGAGATGGTGGAACTTTTTAGAGGTGGGGCCTACTTGGAAGTCTTCTGGTCACATGGGGTTGTGCCTTTGAAGGGAATATTGGCACCCGGTTCTTCTTCTTTCTCTCTTTGCTTCCCAGACACCATGAGATAAGCTCATGACAGCTTCCCCTGACATGGTGTGCTGCTTTGCCACAGGCCCAAAAGCAATGTGACCAAATGACAATGGACCGAAACTGTCCGTCAAACTAACCTTTCCTCCTTAACTAACTTCGGTGTTTGTCACAGTGACAGAAAGCTGACATAATGTATCTGTGATACCAGAGACCTGGAGCAGATGCTATAATAGTTCAGTTTCAGATGTTAGTTCTGAAAAGCTCACATGGATTTTCTAAGTCCTAAAAAAAACTTGAAGTTTTTTTGTAGGACTGGGGTTTGAACTCAGGTCTTTGTGTTTGTAAAGCAGGTGCTCTATGGCTTGAGCTACGCCTCCAGTTCACTTCGTTCTGGTTATTTTGGGGATGGGAGAGTGGGGTGGATCTCATAAAGTGTTTGGCCGGGCTGACCTCAAACCTTGATCCTTCTGATTTTAGCCTCCCAAGTAGCTAGGATTACAGGTGTGAGCCACTGGAGCCCAGCTAAAGTGTCTTTCTTTTAAAGTGCTCTTCATCTTTGTTTAAAAAGCCACTTTTGGATTTAGATATGTAAAATCTAACTTGTATTTGGTTATTTGGTACCAACTGGCCTTTCATAAGAAATTCTGGATTATGCCATAAACAAGTTCAAACCTCCCGAACACTCATTCTTATTAAGAAGAACTCACTTATTTCTTATTAAAACAAATTTTTAAGTGCCTGCTTAGTAAGCTAGAGACCCTGAGTTCAAACCCCAGTGCCACACACACATACACACACACACACACACACACACACACACACACAAAACCCAACAAAACCAAATTTTTGTGTGTGTGTGCAAATTTGGTTTTTGTGTTTTGGTAAAAGATGGTGTGAGTGATATGAAAGCCTAAATGCTAGGATAGCAAGCATTGACTAGTATACCCACTACATTGTGTATTGTTAAGACACAAAGATATAATGTCTTATTATGACAGATACCTAATAGGTTTTTTTTTAATGATGTTTTGTTTTCCTCTTTACTTTGAAAGGTAAGAGACTGGATTTACAAATGGGTAATGACCAGACCATAAATAAACATAAAACTTTAACCCACAGCTTACAGAAATCTGCCCAAGAATCAGCCCTGTATCTTCAACAAACATATCAGGAAGCCAGACTTATAGGAAGTCAGATTACTATCCCTTGTAATGATCCAGGCAGCTAAGCAGTTACAGTCAGTCACAAATGCCCAGGACTTGGTTGATAAAATAAAGACTCCCAAAGTTCACACTGATGGCTTCCCTAATTTTTGTCCTCACTTCCAACATAGGACAACTAGAAAAAGCCAAATGTGTCTTCGAATGATCACATCTGATGTCTTACATCACAGTTAGCTGGCCTACAGCTTCTGCAGGCCAACAATCTCCAATCAGGGAACCTAAAGCCTTCCTTTTCCCACCATAAAGCTTTTTGCTCCTCTGTCCACCTTTGACTCTACCCAACATGAGTGATGGTGGCCAACTCCCTTGCTACAAAATCTCACGAATAGCCTTGGTTTTTTTTTTTTTCATTTGATTGGTCTTTATTTATTTCTATAGAGGAATATACACAAAAATTCAATTAAAAAAACTTAGTCTTCCATAATATTTGTACACTGAAGTCATTAGGTGACCACAACTCCAGGAGTCTTTAACTTACCATAGGAAAGGTTGAGGAAATAAGGATTTAAAAAATTGACTTTTCAAAGCCAGAATGTCATGTCTAAAATGATAGCTGTTCATCAATGTTTCTGGTGATCAGAATATAAATTTAGGTGAAACTTCAGTATATAAATGGGGTTTCAGAATGCTTTGACATTTTCTCTTGAATTATACAAATCTCAATTTATGTTTTGAGTAAATAATAAATAAATAATGGTTAATTTCCTGCTATCATCCTTGATTTAATTTGTGAAAGAAATTAAATAGTAATGGATTATTTTTGGTGGCATAAGATAAATGTATTTACTTTAAGAGTGCAGTAATAATTGATAGTATTTTAACGAAGGCTATTGAGGATACAGATAACAGAATCCCACTCAAACTAGTTTAGACAAAAAAGGCTAGAATTCTTTGTAGTTATCCATTATCAGACTAAGGAAGAGCTTCCCCAAGAGCTTGTGTGTGTGTGTGTGTGTGTTGGGGTTTGAACTTAGGGCCTTGTGGTTGGTAGGCAGGCACTCTATCATTTAAGCCATGCTCCTAGCCCCTTTTGCTTTAGTTATTTTTCAAATAAGGTCTTGCATTTTTGCCCAGACCAGTCCGGACTTTAATCCTGCTATTTATGTCTCCTGTGTAGCTGGATGATAGGTGTGTTCTACCATGCCTAGCTTTATTGGTAGAGATGGTGTCTTACTAACTTTTTGCTGAGATTGGCCTTGAACCATGATCCCTGCCTCCTGAGTAGCTGGGATTACAGACATGAGCCACCATGTCTAAGAGTTAATGATTGTGAGTGACGTTGAGTTCCTCAAATGCTTATTAAGAAGTATGATTTTTTTTTCTGCTAACGCAGATTACAAGACTTAAAAAAAATGTTAACCCAACCTAGCATTACTGGAGTCCATTCATCTTGTTTATCATCTCTCTCTCTCTCAAACACGTATATACTTTACATGTTGTATTTTTCCACTTTATGTGTTACTACATTTGGTTTGCATTCATTTTACTAGTGACATTGCTTATAATTTTCTTTTTTCATGCTCACTCTCTTAGGTATTTGTCTATTTCATCTCATTTCCATGTGTTGTGGTATAGAGTGTTCATGATCTTTAATGTCTATAGTGTCTAGCACTTTCCATATTTATTTTCTGACATTGACTACTTGCCAGTTTCAGTTTATCAAGTGAATTGGTCTTTTCAAAGAGCCACCCTTTGCTTTTGTTGATCCTTAAAGTGATAGGTGTTTTTAGTCACTAGTTTTCACTTTTAATTTTTTTCCTTCACCTTTTTTGTTTAATTTTTTCTAGTTTCTTAAGACTGAGGTAAGCCTCAACAATTAGCCATTGCTTGCCTGTCTTTCTTCTTGGCTAATTATGATTTTAAACCTGAATGCTTTGGTTACTGTGCCAAGTATAGAATCTTTCTCGCTGAGCCTAGAGGTCATAGCACTGAGCATCATACTGTCCTGACACATCCCACCAGTATTTGCCTAAGAGGGTAAGACCATCGGAACGGCAGAAACTGTAAGCTTTGGATGGGCGATTGTTGTAATTGGTAGAAAGTTTATATTTTGTGAGACCTGTTGAAACTGTTCTAGGAATGTGAGGAGGAGGGAACAAAGGAGAATGATGGAAGGGGTGAATTCAAGTATGATATATTTGGTATCTTGCAAGAACTTTTGTAAATGCCACAATGTGCCCCTATCCAGCAAAATAACAAAAAAGCCAGAAACAAAGTGTTATTTAATTTAAAAAAAGAAAGGAGGTAGAAAAGGGCTTATATGAAACATCACATATCATGAGGTATTATCTCTCAAAAGAAATGATTACTATTAGTATAGAATGGAATGGTTTGATATGACAGCTTTTATAAGGCTTGCCTTTAGGGATAGATTATTTAATTTGGGGGAATCAGAAGGAATAATACTCTTAACACATTTAAATCCTATGCTGGGTCAAATGTTTGTTTTCTGTCTTGGAATTTATAAAGTACAGGTCAAGAAATTTAGGGCGTGATCACATTAGCCTTAAAAATGCTATATTTTATAGCAATAAATATGTCACTCTTCTTATCAAAATTTAGCATAATATCTGGAGTGGTTTTGCAGTGGGGCAGTTACTTTTACTGTACCATAATGGAAGTATGCGTGCAATTAATTTGGTACTGTAACACAAATTGACAATAAAATTGTCTCTTTTTTTGTAGAAAATTTTTAATACTGGAGATGTCAACAAGGATGGAAAGCTGGATTTTGAAGAATTTACAAAGTACCTTAAAGACCATGAGAAAAAAATGAAATTGGCATTTAAGAGTTTGGACAAAAATAATGATGGTATGTCTTTTTATTCTATTCATTACCAGCTATGAAGAGTCATTCTTATGCTTTTAAGAATCTAAAATGATATGTGTTTGGTCAATTTTAGATGATAATTGCTACTTGTGTTTATATTTGCTTTAATAAGGTGGTTTTTAAAAAAATGCAGAGTTCATGTTTTTAGTGAATAAAACTTACAGATATCTTTGTCTACTGAATAAACTACTGCTATGAAATGTTAACTCTGGAACATTATGCTGATTTGACGTAAAGCTATGGGCTGGTATGTGGTACACACCTATCATCTCAGCTACTTGGGAGTCAGAGATTGGGAGAGTTACAGTCAGAGTTCAGCCTGGGAAGCAGATTTCATGAGACCCCATGTCAACAAAGAACCTGGGTGTTGGTGGCACATATCTATAATCCCAGCTAAATGGGAGGCATAGGTGGGAGGACCATGGTCAGAGTCTGGCCCCTGACAAAAACCTGAGACCATATCTGAAAAATTACTACAGCAAAAAGAGCTGGAGGCATGGCTTGAGTGGCAGAGCACTTGCCTAGCAAGCAGAAGGCCTAAGTTTAAGCCCCAATACAATAATAATAATAATAATAATAATAATAATAATAATAATAATAATTTTCTTATCTTCTCTGTAAGAGAAATTCGGTTTTGCTCATAGATAGGCATGGATATTGTATAGTGTAAAATTTTAAAATCCCTCAGATTATCTTATATTGATAGCCTTTTTGAAAAATTAGTTTAGAGAAACTATTCTCTGATCCTGACAGTTACAGTTGAAAGATAGCATGTAGACTTTAGTCATCTCTATTTAGAGCAGTATTTTAGAGTTAGAGTCCCCAAAACAAAGGCCATGGTGGGAGAAAGGGAGGAGTCACGAAGCTCCCATCTCCAGGGGCAACCAACGAGAGGTTACTCCAGACTCCTCCCTGCTGACGGTAGTCAGGGTCACTCACTCACAGACTTGTTATTCAAGAAAAAAGGTGAATAGATGTGGAGAGGACATGGTTCGTTTCACAGCTGGCGAAGTTTACTTAAAAGTTTGGACAATAAGTAGCAGCATAGGCCATGACATCTCAGTTATGGCTACTTATCTCAGCCATGGACAGTATGTCAACAAATGGGCTTGGCTGTGTTCCAATAGAAGTTTTTCCAAAGTCAGCAGGCCTTATTTGGCTTGAGGAGTGTAGTTGGGCAGCCCCTGGCTTATACAGGACATTCACAGCAGCTCAATTCAAAGCAAGCTCCTTCAAATCAACAGACAACTAACCCCTTTGGCTGGCTGTGATGATGGTTCAAGTCTAGGACTCAGCTGGAAGAGCAGAGCTTGCACTGGGAGGCAGTCCTACTGGAACATTCGTGTTCTCTAATAAGCCTTACATTGCATGTCCCCTTTTGAGCCTTAATCTAACCTACAAGCAAAATTCAGTCCTTACCATCGGCTTTCTTTCCTCCCCGCAAACTTTCATTCCAACTTGGACCAGAAAAAATTCTAAATGAACCAGAGGAAATAAAGATAAAATTTTAATGTTACATTTACAGCGACTGTGAACAGTGTCCCCTTAATTTATCTTTTTTTTTTTTTGGCACGTTTTAAAACAATTTCTTATTATAGGCTCATATTTTTTATTTGTCAGACTTCCTTAAAACAAAGACTATACAGTTGATCCTCATTATTTGTAGACTGTGTATTTGTGAATTTACCTACTTGCTAAAATTTAACTTAAAAAATAACCCCAAAACATGTGCTTGCCACGCTCCCTCATTCATAGACATGCACAGAGCGATGAAAACTTTGAGTTGCTGAAAGTACACATTCAGAGAGAACAAGGTGACCTGCCTTATTTCAGTTCTCACACTGTCAATGAGAGTCCATTTTGAGGTCTAGTTGTGTCATATTTCTTTCATTTTTATACTTTTAGGGGGAGATTTTTGCTTTTTAATATGTCTCCCAGATATAGTGGTGAAGGGCCGTGTAAGGTTCTAAGCCCAGGAAAGCCACGGTGAGCCATATGGAGAAAACATGTGCATTAGAAGGTGGTCAGCAAGAGTTCAATGTTAGTGAATCATCAATGTGCAGTACTTGAGGTGTCTTTAAACAGAAATGCACACAAGACAAGGTCAGGTATTGATCAGCCGATGAAGGCGCTGTGATCAGAGGCTGGCAGGAACCTAATCCTACATTTCCTGTAGGAACACTGGTTCAGTAGTTGCTAATTCAGAGTTTGCAGTGGTTTTACAGAATATGACTGCTGTGCACGACAAGAATTGACTGCGAGTCTTTAAAATAGGGGTTGTGTCAGGAATTTCACTGCCACTAACTGTCCCTGCCTTGTCCAAATTCTCACACTGATTCTTCTTCCTAGGAGGATTCCCTCAGAATCCTGTCATTTCTTTAGGTCCCTCTTCTAGATGAAGTCTTTCCTTTCTCCTCTCGGGCTCTGTTTCTTCATTTTCTACTTCTTTTTAACTCAGTCATATAATATGACTTCATGCATTATATCTAGTAATTTATTAAAATGTACATATGAGCACCTTTAAATGATCTTGGTTTAATCCAGTTTACCCCAGAGTTAGATCTTGATTTGATTGAGGCTCAGTGCTGTCACTTTTAAAGACCTTGGTCACTGACCAAGGTCTTTAGAGCTCTTCTTCAGAAGAAGCCCTTGCTTATCCACACAACAATCGTGATTACAGAATCAAGTGATATGTGTGTACTTGTTTAATGTATTTGTGAAATTTTGAGTATCATTGTTGCAATATGTATTTAAGCCAATCTATAATTTAACTGCATGCATAATTTCAAAGCTTTCTCTTGAACGAGAGATTTGAAACTCAGTTTCTATGGTCCTTGTCATTCTGAGTCTGACTTTATGCTGTTTCCATTCATTTAAAGGAAAAATTGAGGCTTCAGAAATTGTCCAGTCGCTCAAGATACTAGGTCTAAATGTTTCTGAACAACAAGCAGAGTTGATTCTTCAAAGGTGAGCTCCCATTTCAAAATTATTTTTGATTTTCATTTTAATATCCTGTTTCAGATAGCTGCATTTGTAAGTGCACCTAGCCGTTCCTTATTATGAATGGCCACTATCTTTCTTTGCTTTTTCTCTCTTTTCCTTTTGTGTGTACATGTGTGTGTCCACAGTGCAGGGACTGGAGAGGGGATCTCAGACTGGACTCTGTGGTGGGGCCTCAGGCAACAGGACAGCAGTAGCTGTCACAGCTGAACATGAGGAGGTGACGGCTTGGGTAGCGCCTTTCTCTCCCCCCCCCCACCCCACCGCCATCCCACTTCCTACTGTGCTAGTAAAACTAGTTCTTTCAAGATAAATATTCTAGCAGATTATTCTGATTATTTAACCTACATGTGGCTAGATAAGAAGAAAATTCTGAAGCTCTCCTGGCTAACAGAAATACTTTTAAACTTGCAGATGAACACAGAATACCAATTTGAGCATCACTGTCTAGGACAGTCAGTTCAGCTGTTTAGTAAGTCAAACATTTGCAGATTTAAAGTTTTATTTCACAAGATAGAGTCATATTTTGTGAAGTCCAGGGGGTTTCAAACACTCTTTTTATTACCAACATACAGCAAGTACCAATTTTTTTAAATGATAACAGAAAATAGAAAAAGATGATTATATTATATTCTTGTGATTGTTTTGGTCTTTACGGTATCTAAAAAAGTTTCTTCTTTAGAGCTTTATTATTAATTTAACTCCTTTTCCATCAGAGAAACACAGTGTTTCTTACAGGAAAATAACTAGCATTTTTCTCCTCCTTTCCTCCCTCCCCCTTCCCTGCCTCCCTCCTTTCCTCCTCCTCCTTTTTTTTTGGTGCGACTGGGGTTTGCACTTAGGGCTTTGCACTTGTTTTTTTTTTTCTCCTCATTCTTTTTTTTTTTCCTTTTTCTATTATATTCATATATGCATACAATGAGGGCTTTGCACTTGTAAAGCAGGTGCTCTACCACTTCAGCTACACCTCCAGCTCATTTTTCTCATTTTTGAAATGAGATCTCTCAAACTATTTGCCCAGGCTGGCATCAAACTTCAGTTCTCCTGATCTCAGCCTCCTAAGTAGCTCTGATTACAGGAGTGAGCCACTAGTGCCTGGTTAATTTTTCTCCTTTCTCTCTACCCAGAATTTTCTTTATAAGCAGCTGCCCAAAAGGAAGACTTGAAATCTCAAAGCTAATCTTAGAGTTACTTTTGTTAACGCTGGCTGAGAAAGGCTTTCTTGAGGAAATAAAAAACTAAAATGTAGAAAGGAGATATATGAAATTTTGACAACAGAGAATTGAACATATAATATTCTGCTTCTAAAGTCATATTCACCTAGAAAATGAAGATTTTTCTCTTCTAAATCCTGATGCTCTTTGATAGCTTTAGAAATGTTGCAAGTTCTAAACCCAAGCTCCAGCATTGATCCAGGGGAATTAGTCAATGTGGGGTGCCATAATAAAATACCATAGAGTGATACACACTTCTCAGTCACTTAGGGGTCAAAGAATAAATCATAAGTATAAGTTAAAAGATGCTGTGACTTGAAAACACTAAAAACTGTGGGATATTTGCAAGGTGGTGCTTCTGGGAAACTTAATAAGATTAGGGGTTCTATTAGAAAAGGCTAAAAATGAATGCATTAAATTAGGGGCAATAAATACAACCATCTCAAAGAAGGCAGAAAGATGAAGAAATAAAGAGTAATAAAGTAGATAGTAGCAAAGTCACAGAAATAGCATAAAAACCCAAAAAGTTGATTTTAGACAAGGCAAATCTCTGGAGAGATTGAGAAGAGGGAAATGAGATGAATTATGCTCAATTACAAATAGACACATCAGAAATTTTAAAATGTAAAATGTTAGGAATAATTTTATTCCAATAAATTTGAGAATATATGCAAGAGTTGAATTTTGAGACAAATATAACTTACATGAAGTAGAAATAACAGAAGCAGCTAAAGAAGAAGTAGCTCAGGGAGATTGCATCAGTAATTACAAATTTTCTCACAAAAAAGCTTAGCCCCATCCCTGTACAGCTATCTTAAACAAACAAAGATGTCTTTTTTCAAAAATGGAGGACAGGCAAGTCAAACAGGTGCTGTCTGGGGGTTGGTACCAGTGGAAGGGGGAGGACATAAGGAAAGGGTGTAGGAGGGTGAATATGCTGGAAATGTTATGTACTCCTGTATGAAAATGGAAAAGTGAGACCTGTTGAAACTATTCCAGGAATGGGGGGGAGGGGGAGAGAGAGAGATAAAGGAGATGATGGAGGGGGATGAATTCAACTATGATATATTATAAGAATTTTGGTAAATGTACAATGTAACCCCCTAGTACAACAATCATAAAAAATAAATAAAAAGAAGCTAAGAAAAAAGAGAAAATTTAGCCTCAGAGAGTTTCTGAAAACTCTGAAGTAACAGATATACAACCATCTCCAGAGTGCAGAAGTGCTCTACCCAGGCCTTTCTGCAAGGCCAGTATAACTCTCATACCAAAAGCAGACGAGTTAACAAAAGAGGGAAACTGCAGGCCAGTGCCATTCATGACACAAATGTAACAATCTAAAGAAAGAGCAGGACAATAGATTCCTTTAACATAGACTCCAGATCAGGGCATCTTACCCTCTCAGTTTAGATAGACTGCTGACTCCAAAGTTTTTGGTCAATACCATCAGAAACTTTTCCATTTGACACACTCCAAATTTTGTTGTTTGGGGGTGTTTGGTGTGCACCTGTGTGTGCACACTCAGTGACCATGAATATCAGTGCCTAAGTTAGGGGAATTACATTCCTGGCTCTGTGGGAGGAGAAGGGTATATAAAGCAGCATGAAACAGTAGCCTCATTTTATTTTAAATTACAGACTAATGTTAATTGTTTTCAGAACTGGATTTTATTCTCAAAATTAAAATTTTTTTCTTTTGGATTTAATGCACAGTATTACAAGCTGAAGCCAGTGTGACATGGTAAGAGATGTCAGACTGATAAAAGGTATGCAGCCTGATTTAAAGCCAAACCTTGGGCCCTTTTAAAGAACAATAAGCATATTTTACATTAAAAAATAGTAAAGAAAATACAAACAAACTGAAGCAGCCGTTGGTAAGAAATGAAACACCTCTATCAATATATTTATAAGAACAACTTATACATCAAAGTAGACTCAGCACAGAAAAGATGTGCCTTCTCTCCAAATCTCTATTACCATAGAGATTCAATTCCATTGGAAAAAAATCTATTATTTTTTTTGGGAAGTTGTTTAACTGAGTCTTATTTATATCAAAGAGCAAAGTATAAGAATACCAAGATATTTTTGAAGAACCAAAGGAGCCAGAAGCCTACCCTGTTGGATATCAAGAGATGTTATTAAGCTATAATTAAGACAGTAGAATTGCTACAAAAATAGACAAGTTGGCAAATGGACCTTGATAGCCCAGAAAGAGACCCACCCATATTGTGGATTTGTCACAAGACAGAAGTAGCTTTGCAGATCTCTATGAAAAGGAGGGACTATGCAGTAAGTGTATGTGTGTGGTGGAGGGGTGGGGGCACATGTGCAGATAGAACCGACATTGAATTCCCTACCTTATACCACACACAGAGGAGATAATTGCTAATTTATAACTTGTAGGATTACAATCAACTAATATGAAGAACAATGAATTAGGAAAAGACACACAGCTTATTAAAAATGGGCAAAGGTACAGACAGGCATTTTATTCATGAATAACAATGGGACAGGATATGGCAAGAGACGCTGAACCTGCTTATAGCTTTAAAGAGAGATGCAACTTAAATCCACAGCGAGACTGTCTTCCCTACCGGGTTTGCCAATACTGTGTTCTGTGGCTTTCAGCCAAAGAATTTGCAATTCATGGATTCATTCAATGAATACTCAGTCTCAGGCACTATTCTAGACACTTCAGTTAATCAGTGAACAAAATGAACAAACATCCTTGCCTTATAGACGATGCTCACAGCTGGGAGTTGGGGGATGGAAGCAGACAATAAGCAATGACACTAAAATAGGGACTAGTGGTAAGGATGGAGCTAAGATCTTGCAGCCCAGAATCATGTTATAAACATCAGTAGTGACTAGCGCTCTCATGCAGAAATGGAATGTTAGCGTCTGTTGCTTGGACAAGTGAAAATTTAAGTGTAATTTCTCAAAGTACAAAATGGCACTAGAAAACACAATATCTGAAAATGGCATTTTATTGGACTGCCGTCTTTATGCATCATTTCCATACAAATTATAGAGCAAACTTCAAGAAGACACCAATTATTTTGCAGACATTAAATTAATTTTTAAAAAATGAACTGCTTCTTTATGCTGGAGCTGGGTGGACAGTAGTGAACACGCCAGTCAAAACCTGACATGGTTCTGAATTGCTCTTAGGAAAAAGCAATGCAAATAGTCTTATTGAGAGGAAGGTTGTAAAAATGAGTAAAAAGCGTGTGATAAATATTTAAGATTATAATACGATAGTTTTCATTTTCCATTTTTATCAGTGTGTATTAGCTATGCAGGGGGATCACTGTGACATTTCCATCTGTGCTTACAATGTACCTTGGTTAGGTTCGTCCCCACCATCACGCTCCCTCATTCCCTCCCTCCTATTTAAAATGATTTCAACAGGTTTTTGATGCTCCTATAGAATGCACAGCAGCTGTATTCACCCTTCTTCACCCTCTCCATTCCCCCTCCCCCTCCCACTAGTACTCACCTCTAACAGGACCTGTTTTACCTTCCTGTCCTTTATTCTTAAGTGTATATTCATTGTTCAAAGGGTTTTCATGATGGTATATCACCTGTGAATATACTGTACTTTGACCAGATTAACCTCCTTATCACTCTCCCTTAGGCTTTCCCTCCACCCCCCCATTCAACAGCTTTCAGTGCATTTCCTTATGCCTTCTTCCTACACAGATGCAATATATTTTAGTATTATTCACTCTTTATCATTCTCTTTTCCTCTCAAATTTTGTTTACACCAGCATATTTTCAAAGAATATTAATATTAACCAAATTTGAAAGTTTTAGTCCCCCTTAGTGCCCTCAAGCAGTTCCCTATTGCAAACACGTTCTGCATATATGTATGTATGATCATGTTTGTATTTACATATACATTTATCTTTTGAATCTATCTTCCACATAATGAGAGAGAACTTAGTTTTAAAGTTGAAAATGAGGTACCACGATTTCTTAAGACTCAAAAGGCCAGGTCAAGAAGAGTTGAGTTCTTCACGGTCATTGCTAATTCTTTTTTAACTTGGGGAAGGTTGGAAATGTGAATTCCCACCATATTTTCAGTATATTTCAAAATTACATCCAAATGTTGCAACAGAACATTAAGAAATATCTTCCTGAACCAGTGCAGGAAAAAAATGGGCCTTGAATCCATTTATACTACCTCTCAGTGTTTCATTGTCTTGTGTTTTGTTTTATGACTCCTTGTTTCAGAGTCTGAGAGTGCAGAAGGCAATCGTTAGTGAGCTCTCTGTGTAATTTTGGGGCCCATTTTTATCTAGGTGGTTAAACCAACCTGCAAGGGCCATAAAATGCCTACTTCTCCTTTAACCAGCTATAACTATAATGAAGTTTTAAAAACTAATAAGAATATTAAGTTGGAAAAGAAACTGTCACTGTGAAATGGCCAATAATGTTTGCTTTCTTCATTTGGTTGTATTCTTTAATCAGTTAAAATTTCTTTCAGCATTGACGCTGATGGGACCATGACAGTGGACTGGAATGAATGGAGGGACTATTTCTTATTTAATCCTGTGACAGACATTGAGGAAATTGTCCGTTTCTGGAAGCATTCCACGGTAAGTACTCTCCGTGTACTTATACTTATGTGAAGCAATGTGCCATGCATACAGTTATCACTCAAGAACGCTCTGCAACACTTAAGGCCAGGGTACCCAAGTTCCCCTAGCTCCTTAACTTGCAGAGTTCTGTTTATTCTATTAGACAGATTTATAGACTTTTTTTTTTTTTTTAGTGGTACTGGGGTTTGAAGTCAGGGCCTCATGCTGGTTAGGCAGGTGCTCTACCACTTGAGCCATCCTGCCAGCCCTTTTTTGTGTTGGGTATTTTAAAAATGGCCTGGGCTATCATCCTGAGTAGATCCTCTGGTCTCTGCCTCCTGAGTAGCTAGGATTATAGGCATGAGCCACTGGCATCCAGCTGTAGAGTATCTTAAAAAAACCCTAAGCCTGTATGAACAAAGCCATTCTTAAAACTTGCTGCCCAGCTGTAACTGGCATTGAAGTTCTCTGCCATGAAGAATTCTCTGAGTCTCCTTATAGACACATATTGCCCAAATGATCTCAACACTTGTGATTGCTATAAGGATCTGTTTCCTTGGCCATTGATGATACGGTCAAGGTCCCTTCTGGAGCTTTGGCTTGTTTGGTTGGGCTGCCTAGATTTATCTCTGGCATAAGCATTCTTAATAACCTTTGAAGGTTTCACAATCTTTTTCACTCATCCATTCAGTATTACATGTCAGTTTATATTCTAAAACTTTTGGAATCAGTTTAAGTTCCACCAAACTTTCAAATTTGGGGAAGTTTTATTATATTCTTCTAAAATATGCTGATATAAACAAAACTTCTCTTTTGCTATCTCCTCCTGAAGTCACTGTGGACTCTCTAATGGAAGAGAATGGGCTTGTCTTCTGTACTTACTCGAGGGTTTCAGTTAGCTTTAATATGCACTGAATGAAGGAAGCCTAAGCTAACACAGAGCATTGTCAAATCATTGATGCTCAATATCCATTCAACTATGAGTATAAAACAGTACTATATTAATAATCCAGTTGCCTAGATATTTATTACATTTATATGAAGTATGAAACTCATTTACATGATTTTTATCATATCTTTGGAGATAGTTGATAATAGGTGAGAACACAATTGTTTGTCTGATTTATTGACGGTGAAATGAAGAAAGAGAGGGTTATTACCATGGCATAGCTTCTTACCATTACACTCTGGCCTATAAACATCCTTGATGCCAAATCAGTTAGATGATAAAGTTATAAAAATGTCATTATAGCACTTTGTTTCTCTCAAGCTATATTTATAATTTTTAGTAATGTTTAGAATATGTGAGGAGTGATTGTGTCAAACAACACCTCCCTCTTAGCTAAATTTTATGTAGAATCTCTTGCATGTTTGAAATAGCAAGTCAGACTTATAAAAATATTCACAGTGAGGCAATATAGGAAATGAATTTAGGAATATTCACATACAGACCTTTTATTTCATTTTAAGTTATATATTTAAAGCATGCATCATAATATGAAATATAATGTGGATATACTTTATATATAGAGAGAGAGAGAAAGAGAGAGAGGGAGTATTTTCTAAGAATTAACAAAACTAATTTCTTAAAAGATGTCCTCAGTGGATATGTTTTTCTAGTATTATAGAAAGTAGCAATAGCTTCAATAGGATTCCCTATGTCTGATAAAATGCTGCCCTTTCATTATAATTTAGACAAATAAGTCACCCAATCTGTAAAGAAAGAATACTGCAAAGATTGATTTTGTAAATTTGTAATTATAGTTAACATTCATCCTGTGAACTGATACTGCACTTTTGTTTACTGTGACTAAACTATAATCATCTCTGTGCTTAAATTGGTTTCTTATAAATTGTAAGGAATGAAGTTACTCTTAACTCTAAGGTAATATATAATTCTTCACTAAAACAAAAAACTTTCTGGGATTATCTATTTTCAATTAAAGGAATGTGGTGGCCTTTTTTCCCTTTGAACAGGGAATTGACATAGGGGACAGCATAGCTATTCCGGATGAATTCACGGAGGAAGAGAAGAAGTCTGGACAGTGGTGGAGGCAGCTGCTGGCGGGTGGCATCGCTGGGGCTGTCTCCAGGACCAGCACTGCACCTTTAGACCGCCTGAAGGTCATGATGCAGGTGAGCGTCACCAGCTTGGTTCATGGAAGGTGCATTGTAAAAGAGGTTTGAAAATGTCTCAGTGATAGTCTTTCATACCTTCAAAATATCTATTTTATTAACTACTTTATTAGCTATTAACTTTATTAGCTATTAACTCTAAATTGAGTACATGTAAGTATTTGGCAGTGTTCCACAAAACTGTAAGTTGTCGATACGTGTGTGTAATGAACTTTCAACCGTTGGCATTCTATGACTATTTAAATGTTTGATAAAAACAAAACAACCTCTAGCCAGTATTGTAGGGTTCTCTTTAAATTATGTGCATTTTCCTTCTTGTTGGTGTACTTTAAAGTAGGGCATTTCTGAGAACCAGAATCTTGGGACAAGGATACAATTGAAAAGAGTTATTCTAAAACTGAGGGTAGCAGACAATGACCTGGATTTAAAGACTGAGTTTGTTGCTTACTAGCAGTGCAGCCTTGGGCTGGCCAGAGTGGAAAGAATTAACGTTTACAGCCCATGGTATCTTCTGAGAGCCCACGGTTCCAAGGAGACGCCATTGAGGGAAAAGCTTGCACGCCCAGGATGCATAGACTGCTGTGCTGTATTTTGTGTTTGATTCGCTCTTCCCGTAACACAGCTCGGATTCTCACTCCACCACTTCAACTAAGTGCATTCACTTTTACCTGGCTTTGGGGGTACCATTTGCTTTTTGGGAAGTAGACTTTTCATGAAATTAAGGGTTGGGAAGCAGCAGATCACACAATGATTTAAACACACATAAGGACAATTTGGGACTGACTGAGAGCAGCTCTGCAATCCCCTGAGCTGTGGAATTCGTGCCTGGGAATTTAAATTTTTGTTTTTGAAATTTCTTTTCTTTTAAAAATATTTATTATTTTTTAACTTACTATTTATTATTTTTTATCCTCATAGTAGCTCAGTGAAGTAGGGATTTTTATCCATGGAGAACCCGAGGCTCTAAGAATTAAATAACTTTTCCTTTGTAATAAACTAGACAAGGAGCAGAGTACCTCCACCTCCAGAGCTCGTGGTTCTCACACTGTCTGAACCCTCTGAGGTCTCATTTTCCTTCACTCTGGGCTGAGATGAGGGCTATCTAACAAGGGTGACCATGAGAGTTAAGACACATAAGGTACTGATGGACTGGAGGTGTGGCTCAAATGGTAGAGTACCTGCTTCACAAGTGTGAAGCCCTGAGTTCAAACCCAAATAAATAAGTAAATTAATTTTAAAAATAAAGTACTGACACACTGTAATAACCTATAAGAACATATTAGTGGCTTAAAAAGTATTTTTAAAAGTTGTTTGTTATACCTCTAGTCAACACTTGATATGTTTTATGTTTGTTGTCAGATTTTTATACAAAAAGATTTCTGATTGTGTGTGTGTGTGTGTGTGTGTGTGCGCGCACACACATGTACTGGGATTTGAACTCAGGACCTCACACTTGCTAGGCAGGCACTCTACTCCCCCACCTTCCCAGCCCTTTTTTGCTTTAGTTATTTTTCAGATACAGTCTGACATTTTTGCTAGGCTGGTCTTAGTACTTCTACCACAAAACCTGTGGTGTTCCCTAATTTTTTGCCTAATCGCTGCCTCCTGAGTAATTGGGATTACAGGTGTGAATCACTTGTGCTCAGCTGGATTTCTGAAAATATTTTAAAGTACATTCAGAATGTATCCAACTCCCCAAATTTATTTAGGGACAAATGTAGTGTTTTAAAGAAAAAAGGGGAGGGGATTGGTGTGTTTTTCTTTTGGAACAATGGCAAATTGACTTTGAGGAATCACTCATCTTTTCATTTATTATATCTATTGTGAAGTTTATTTCTTTAAAACAAATGTATTTTTCAGCATTTTAGTTACTGCAAATTTGGGGCAGCTTCAGATTTGATACCTCACTAGAAGGACTTCCAGAACTTACTAAAAGATGTTATACTCACAGTCATGTTTATTGCAGGGAAAAGATAAAGATTAGTAAAGGAAGTACGAAGGGCTGAGTCTAGGGAAGTACCAAAGCAGAGCCTCTTTTGTCCTCCCCTATGGAGTCATAGGACTTTACTTTCGGCACTATGTGGGGCAATAAACACAGACCATCAGGAAAGTTCCCTGAGCCTTGGGCATCATCCCATACTGGCCACATAGTTGACCTTCAGTCTTCAACCTCTTCCATCTTTCTTCTTTTCTTTTCTTGTCTTGTCTTCCCTTCCTTCCCCACTCTCTCCCTACCTCCCTCCTTTCCTTCTTCCATCCTTTCCTTTCTCCCTCTCTTTTTCTTTCTTTCTTTTTACTTTTTAGTGGTAGTCACTCATTTTGTTTAAGCTGAAACAGCAGCTGATTTTTAAAATCATTTTTAGTTTATTAGATTTAATCAGTTCTCACATGTAATCAAACATAAGTTCTGGTGTATTTAATGACTACCACCCCTGTAGTATAAGCCCAGTAATTCATCGACACTCATTGGGTTAGTTTGTTGGCACAGTTATTGTCTACAGAGACCTTCAGTTATGGCACAGAAGGTGCAGTTTTTATTTTTGGTTTAGGTTGTGTGCATTCCAGTATCTGTGGCTCTGATATACATAATACCAAACTCATTTGCAGACTCATTTACAGTCCATGTCTGCACTACTCCTTTGGGGAGGGAGTAATATATTACAGTAGACTTTCTTTTTATTTCTCATGTTTTAATGAGTGTTTCACAGTTGAATACACTATTTGGTTCCTATATCTTGTGAACGTTGTTTATAATAATTTAATTTCCCATACTGAAGATAACCAATTATTTTAATTTTAGATCGAGATACAGATCTCTGCCCCCCAAAAAATTAAAAAGTGGTAATAATTCCTTCTGTCATTATGTATTTTGTCAACCTTCTATATTTTATTTTCAAATACATCTTCTGGTACTTTGAAACAGTTGAAAAGGGGTTGCAGGTTAGTTTGGAAATAATTGTCAATAACATGCAGCCATGTTTTATGTCATTTTCCTTTTCCTTTTTAGGTTCATGGTTCAAAATCAATGAACATTTTTGGTGGGTTTCGGCAGATGGTAAAAGAAGGAGGTATTCGTTCCCTTTGGAGAGGAAATGGCACAAATGTCATTAAAATTGCTCCGGAGACAGCTGTTAAGTTCTGGGCCTATGAACAGGTAACTGTTATCACCTGCAGAAATTACTAACAAAAAATCATAGACCAATTCCATAGATGAGCATGCAATGCTTTGGGGATTATTTTAGCACACGATAATTTTTCACATACGCTCCATGAGATTAGGCTAAATAAATGCAAGTGACTTTTTATGACTGAATTCTGAGATCCTGAAATTTATTTGTTTATTTATTTATTTGATGGGTCTGGAGTTTGAACTAAGGGCTTATCAGCTGCAAAGTAGGCGCTCTACCATTTGAGCTGTATCTCCAACCCTGTATTCTGAATTTTATAATATTATTTATAAAGAAAACATTTTCTGCTCTTTTCTAAGTAGTTCTTAAAGGTAAGGTAGAATCTTAGCTTATTCACATTGAATTCCTAACAGAAGCAGCACACTAACATAAATCTTATGAAAGTATCCCAATTTAATCTCGGGAAAGAAAACTTGTAAGTTGAACTCCTTTGAGTTCTTTGACATTTCTGTAAAATGGAGCTAAATTTAGAACAAAAGCTCCATGGAGGCAGGGGCCTCACTTCTTCTTTGTGCACTCCAGCCCCTAAGCAGAGCCCAGCATGTGCTAATTGCTAAGTCAGTGTTTGTTGAATGAATGAATGAGGGAGTAAGTGAATGCATTTTCCTCAGAATCCACTTCCCAGCTGACTTGTGTTGACTTAGACGCTTCAGGATATTACTTCCACTGCCTAACCTGCCAGTAAGAGGAAACCCAGTAGTGAGCTTGTCTGATTTCCCCTGATGGTCAATAGTGGTTGAGTGTTAGTTTTCTGTCATTTATTCCATCATTGTTTATTATGAACTATAGGGTCTTGAGATTTAGCAACACCCCATATTTTTTGATTATTTTAGATAGATTTTAAGCAATGCTGGAGCATATTTTATCCTCGAAGAACAGAACACTCTTGAGTAGATTCCACAGTCTAGTAGTGTCCTTCCTTTGGGCTTAGGAAATCAAGTTGCAAAGGGAAACATTGAAGAACTTCTAGCTTCAGGACTTCAATTGGAACCCAGCTTTGAAAAGCTGTTTTCCTTACATGAATGTTTGAGCATTCAAATGACGAGTATTGATTTCTGTGGCCACACACCCCACACCACTGCCCCACACCCCACTCACGCCTCCCCCCCCCACACCATTCCTCTTTCCCTATCATGTAAATGAACCATCCTTAAGACTTTATTCAGGAGTTACTTCCTGCATGAAACCTGCATTGCTATAGTTCCCTTTGTTGTCTTTGGTTACAACTCATCCACACTGAATTCTGAGAGCTTCTGTACTTGATCGTCTCCTTTGTGGACTTCTTCAGGCCCTAGCTGTTTGTTTTTTCAGCACTAGGCCCAGTGTCATTAAATCCTTACTGAATGAGTGAAGAGACAGAACTGCAGGGACAGGACTTTGGGCCCATGCCTGTCTGAGTCCCCAACCCATTAAGATGAAGGGGGAGATGAGTGTTGCAAACAGTAGGAGCAGCACATTGACAGACGTGAAGGCACAAGAAATTGTCCCTCACTAAGGGAACAGAGGGTGGTTCTGTACCTTTGGGGTGGAGTGCGTTTCTGGGATACCGATGGGATAACAGTGAAAGAAGGTGCGATAGATAGGTGGGAGCCAAATGTAATAGGAGTCTGTTTCATCCTGAAGATGATGAGGGCTATTAAGGCATCTTATGCACGGAAGTGAAGTGAGTGCACTTACATTTAAGGAAGATCACTCTGGAGGATTGTGAGGCTGGACTGGAGGCAGGGAGATTACTTAGGGAAATGTTTCAGTCAGCTAGGTAAATGATGAACACTCGCACAAGGTGACTGCTATAGGGACTGGGGAAGAAAGGAGGGAGTTGAAAAATGTCTTGGAAATAGAATTAACTGAACCGATTGGCAAGACAGGGAGAGAAATCAAGGATGACATTATGGTTCCTAACTTGAACAAATACACACGTAGAAAACACAATGTCAGGTTCCACACTGAACGTGGGGAGTTTGGGATACCTCTGGGATACATGTGGTGAGCCATCCATTAGACAAGTGGATGTCTCATCCGAAAATATGAGACAGGTCTTTGATAGAAAGGTTGTTACTGAGTTGAAGACCCTGGAATGGGCCAGATCCTTCTGGAAGTGCTTCTAGAATGGGAAATATTACGGGAGTAGCTCGAAAGTAGTTGTAAAAACTTGCAAAGGAGACTAGGCAGGAATAGGCAGAGGGACAGGGGAAATGCAGAGAGCGATGGCCTAGGAGTCAGTGGAAGAGGGGGTTTCGTGAAGGGTTGTGTGCTGCATGGTGTTGAATATGATGAGAGAAGTGTCTTAGGATTTTTCAGCTGGAGATAGTAAGCTTAGTACAAATGTTTCAGTGAAGCACTGAGATAAAACACCATGATAAACAGGCTGCAGAGAATGAGATGTGGAGAAAACAAGACCGTGTGAACACCTTCTTTCAGGGTTTGAAGGGTGTTGGGTTAGAAGGATGGAGTAGGTGGGAGAGTTGGATGAATGCAGCAGGTGTCCTGAGGAAGCGTGTGTGACTGTTAGAGAAACAGGTACTTTCCAGAGATGATTAGAACAACCAGCTTTTTGTCCTGGGCTGGCCTGGAACCTTGATCCTCCTGATCTTAGCCTCTCACATAGCTTGGGATGGACAGGTGTACACCACCTGGTTGAGATAGGGTCTTGCTAACTTTTTGCTCTTAAACCCCCATTCTCCTGATCTCAGCTTCCCAGATAGATAAGATTACAGGAAGATTACAGGTATGAACCACCAGTGCCTGACTTTCTTTCCTTCTTCCTTTCTTCCTTTCTCTCTTTTTTCTCTTTCTTTCTCTCTTCCTTCTTTTCTTTCTCTCTCTCTTCTTTCTGTCTTTCTTTTTCTTTTCTCTCTTTCTCTCTCCTTCCTTCCTCTTCTTTCCTCCCTCCCTCCCTTCCTTCCTCCCTTCATGTACTGTTTCCAGCAAATTATATTTAATTATTATGATAGGAAAATTAATTGGGCCTATTAAGAAGGATAATTTTAGATAATGTTCTGCTAATTTAGGAAACAGAACCCTTGGAAGCACCTGATTCTTTTGGGGGGAATATATATCTACTATTTGGGGAACTTCATGAAATAATAACCCACTTAATTTTTGTCATGAGAAAAGAAACACAATTTTGCTAGGAGAAAGTCATCCTGTCCTGTTGCCTTGGGCTCTTTGGATCCCAAGGAACAGCAACTGGCTGGCTGAGGAGTGGGGCGTACCCACCTCCCCCTCTGGTGTCAGTGACTGACAGTCTTTCCAGAGTCACTGCACATTTCTGAGAGAAGGGATCTGGTTTTCCTGGCTAACTTCCATCATCTCTGTTTGAGCATAGCTCTTCTTTCCATGTCATATGAAGATAATATATTAGTAATAGTAATAATAGCAAGCACTGAAAGTTTGCTATATGACCATCCCAGTGTATTGCATGTATTATTTTATTTAATCCTATCAACAGCCCTGTTATGTAGGAAATACTGTCAGAGACCAGGATAGTGGAACTTGGACATGTTGGTGAACTTGCTGGGGGCACACAGCTCAGGCCTAGAGCTGCCTGACTCTGGAGCTCATGATATTAACGTCTTGACTAGTCAATATTTTGGCTTCCTTTGAGTTCCACTTCCACTCATGGTTCAATCAGCTCTGTTGGGTTGCTATAGGACTGGTGAGCCAGGGACTGCTACGGTTGGTGTGCTAGTATACTTAAATGTATTCCTATAAACACTGTTTTCTAAGTGTTTTGTTAATATTTGTCACTTTTTAAATTGGCTTTATTTGTACTGGTGACAGTAAACTCATCTTTATAAAGAAACTATGGGGAAAATATCTAAAGAAGCTATTCTGTTTTTAGCAAAAGAGCATCTTGGTCCAGTCTGTGCAACAGACTGTGTTCTGTGGAAACCTAACTCAAAAACCACTGTCCAGTAAATCGAGTGTGTTAGTACAAAACCTTGCTTTTCTGCTAGGTATCACTAATGTAATGTATGCATTTTCAACCAAATTATCACATTGTCCATTAATTGATGTCTAGGAACTAATTTGTATTTATGTTTTGTCTTAGTTAGTTTGGGTAGCCATAACAAAATACCACTGACTGTGTGACTTAAATAATAGAAATTTATTTCTCATAGTTCTGGAGATTGGTAAGTCCAAGATCAAGGGGTCAGCCAATTTGGTGTCTAGTGAGGACTTGTTCTGGCCTGCAGACAGCCACCTTCTCACTGTGTGGTCAGACAGCCCTTCCTTCCATGGTTCATGTACCAGTGGAGGTTAAGCCCTTTGTGGTCTCTTCCCATTAGGATGCTAAGCCTATCTATCAAGCTCATCTGACTGCAATCACCTCCAAAGGTCCCATCTCCCTAAGACTGTCACATTGGGGGCTAGGGGTCAACATATGAACTTCTGAGGGTCACAGTCTAGTCCACAGCAGGTATTAATGCACATTTCAAAACTTATTCATACAGTACAAGAAGTTGCTTACTGAGGAGGGACAAAAAATAGGAACTTTTGAGAGATTTATTTCTGGTTCCATGGCTGGAGCAACTGCACAGACGTTTATTTACCCCATGGAGGTAAGTACCAGTGGGAAGTCCAACTGTTCGGTTGGTGTTGGATTGGCTATCTATTGTGTAATAAGTCATTCCAATGTTAGCAGTTTAAAACAGTAAGGTTTATTATCTCAGTCTCTGTGGATCAGGAATCTGGGAGCTTAGCTGGGTTCCTCTGGCTCAAGGGTTCTCATAGTCTACTCCAGTGTGTCAGCCTGGGCTGTAGTAACCTTGAGGCTGAACTTGGGGTGGAGCAGCTTCAAAGCTCACTCCTGTGGCTGTTGCATCCCAATAGGGTGGGAGTATCATTTCCTTGTCACATGGGTCTTTCTTTATGCTTCTTGAGTATCTTCATGTGGTGATATGAGAGAGAGAGAGAGAGAGAGAGAGAGAGAGAGAGAGAGAGAGAGACAGAGAGAGAGAGAGAAGAAAGCTGATTCATCCAAGATGAAAATTGCTCATTTGTAGCTTCTGCTGTATCCCATTGGTCACACAGAGCCACCCTGATAAAGTGTGTGAAGTGTACGAGGAGACCACCCTATGCTGTTTTTTGTACATGAAGGCAAGGGTCTTTGGGGGCCACCTCAGAGGCTGACTGCCACAGCATTCATGGGAATTATAACTCCCATTCCTACCCAAAGGTCTTCTATGAGGACAATCCTAACTAGACATTTGTCCATTGGACCATGCATGGTATATGTTGGCAAACCATAGACCATGGACTGTTTTGAGGCTATAGACTCAAACTAAGAATGGTTTTTACATTTTTAAAAGTAGGTAAAAACAAAACACATTACTCCACACACCCCTCAGAAAAGCATCCTAATTCAGTACCTCTTTCTCTTACGCCTGCCCTCTTAACTGATGGAACTCACTTCCCTAACTGCCCCCGTCCTGTGCTCGAGGTAGAACATGCGTTATCCTTCATACCTCTGTCCCCTCACCTTCTACTCCAGTCCATATTGTTATCACGCCAGTAGATCATCTTACCCCATTTCCTCTGTCACTGCCCTCCTTCGGGTCCTCTTTGCAATAAGTGGGTCTTCCCAGCTCTGCTCTTAGCCCCTCGGTGGAAGTGGTACGTGAGGGAGACCGTGTCCAACAAACTGGGCAGTCATCTGAGTGACACTGCTAGGCAACCGTGCTCCACAAAATTGCTTCTTTTGATTCCCATCATGTGTGAGTTAATGCAGAGAATAATATTTCATTACATTTTCCCCTATCTAGGTTTTGAAAACCAGGTTGGCTGTGGGCAAAACTGGACAGTACTCTGGAATATATGATTGTGCCAAGAAGATTTTGAAGCATGAGGGCTTCAGCGCTTTTTACAAAGGTTATGTTCCCAATTTGCTGGGCATCATCCCTTACGCAGGCATAGACCTCGCTGTGTATGAGGTGAGTGTGTAGCTAGGCTCTGAATCTGCAAATGTAGTTAGTTATCTAGCTTGTACTGCTAGACTCTGACTCTCCAGAAAGAAATCGATGTATATGCTGGAGAACGAGTGTGACCAGGCTGCTTATGAGTAAGCTCTTTGTTCTGTTCAAGTGCCTGGAATATGAGACTCCTTATGCAGAAGTCACTTGTGTATTAAATTTCCTTGTGAATTCTTTCTGTGCATGCAAAAGATGGACTCAAATTAGGATATAGTTGTTCAGCTTAGAAGATGATATGAAGGATTTATTTTTGGTGAGGGGAAAAATCAGTAAAAATGTCACATTTTCTTTGATTTGTTAAAATCTGACATTGACAAAGCCAGGTGACTAATGTGAGTAACACAGATTCATCCCTTTTACTGAACAGGTAACTCAGAATATAAACCTCAGTTCAACCCTGCCATCTAACTCACTTAATCATTTATGAATCTGACATTTACCGAGCATACACTGTACACAAGCCACTGGGTTAGAAGGACCCAGTGTCTGCCTTTAAGGAACTGAAGGCTTGAGCCAGGCATGGAGGCACACACCTGTAATCTCAGCTCTCAGGAAGATCGAGTGTTTGAAGCCAGCCTAAGCTATAGAGAGAGTTCAAGTCCATTCTAGGCTATACAGCAAGACCCTGCCTCAGAACAAAAACCAAAAAACCACACACACACACACACACACACACACACACACACACACACAAAGGAACAAAAGAAAAAAACTGGGTGTGGTAGTGCATACTTGTAGTCCCAGCACTCAGGAGCCTGAGGCAAGAGGATTGTGAGTTCAAGGCCGGCCTCAGCTATACATCAAGACCCTGTCTCAAAAAACCAAGGGCTGGGACTATAACTCAGGGGTAAAGTGCTTGTGTAATATGTGCTAGTTCCTGGGTTTAATCCCTAGCACTGAGAGAGAGAGAGAGAGAGAGAAAGGGAGAGGAGAGGAGAGGAGGGGAGAGGAGAGGAGAGGAGAAGGAGGAAGAGGAGGAGGAGAAGGGAGGGAAGGAGAGGGAGGGGAGGGAAGGAGAGAGAGACTGACACTGAAGGTCTGGTGGGGAGAGGAACAAGCCAACAACGAAAGCACAGAGTGGTTAGCGCAGGGGTACAAGGTGCGTGTTAGGAAGGGGTCCAACCTACATCTCGGTATGTGTGTAATGAAAGCTTTTTTAGAGGATTTACTACTGTTTTAAAATAGCCTTATTGAGATATAATTCATATACCATATATTTCATCCACTTAAATCATACAATTCAATGGTTTCTGGTATAGTACATTATTGAGTCTTAAAAATTTCATTAAAATGGAACATACAATTTACCAAGGCCCCCAACCCTTTTTGCTTTAGTTTATTTTTCAGACAGGGTCACAAAATCCTGCCCAGGGGCTGGCCTTGGACTGTGAAATTACAGGTGTATACCACCATGCCCAGTTATGTTAGCCATTTAAGTGGGTAATTCAACAATATTAATTACATTCATAATATTGTATAGCTTTCATTACTATAAATTTCCAGAACTTTTTTATCAGCCCAAACAGAAACTTTTAAATTAAGAAGTAACTCTCTACCCCACCTTCCCTTCAACCTCTGGTTACCTGTAATCTACTTGCTTTCTTTATGAATTTATATGTCCTAGATGTTTCATAAGTGGAATCATAATGATATTTTCTTTTAGTGTCTGACTTACTTCACAATAGCATATGGTCTTCAAGGTTCATTCAGATTGTATATATCAAAATTTCATTTCTTTTGCTGGCTGAATAGTACTCCATTTTATGTTTTAACAGTCACACACCACATAATGGCATTTGGGAGAATAAGGGAACACAAATAGGAGGGGCCCCCACAAGATTATGATGGAGCTGAGGGCTGAGGCTGTGGCTCAAGTGGTAGAGCACCTGCCCAGCAAATGTGAGGTCCTGAGTTCAAGCCCCAATACTGCAAAAAAAAAATTATAATGGAGTGGATGATTTCCTGTTGCCTAGTGATGTCTTAGGCAGCTTGGTATCAACAGTGCCTGGCACTGCTTGGATGTTTGGGATGACACTGGTGTCAACAAACCTATGCTGGCAGTTGTGTGAAAGTACAGCACATTCAGTTATGAACAGTGTGCAGGACTTTGCAACATCGGTCATGACTGTGTACTGATTGGTGTGTCTTTTGTTTATTTATGCTTTTTGTTGTTGGTGTGTACTCTTTTTACTTATAAAAAAGTTTACTGTAATAAAGAGTCCAGCAGCAGCCCCTCATACAGCGTGTGTTTGCTGAGTCTCTCTCTCTCTCTCTCTCTCTCTATACTGGGGTTTGGGGTTTGAATTCAGGGCTTCACACTTGCAAAGCAGGTGCTCTACCACTTGAGCCACACCTCCAGTCCATTTTGCTCTGCCTTTTTTTTTTTTTTAAGAGATAGGGTCTCACTTTTTTTCTCTTTTTTTTGCTTGGCCAGCCTGGACTGTGATCCTATTATTTTATGCTTCCTACTATCGCTGGGATGACATGCATGTCTGCCTTTTTCCTGTTGAGATGGAATCTCACAAGCTTTTTCCTCCCAGTTGGCCTGGAACCATGATCCTCCTATTTCAGCCTCCTGCATAGCTTGGGATGATGGACGCACACCACTGCACCCAGTTATTGGGTTCCTGTGAACTTTTTTTGTCCAAGCTAGCCTAGAAATTTGATTCTCCCAATCCCAGCTGCCCAAGAAGCTAGGATTACAGGTGTGAGCCCCCAGTGCCTGGCTTTGTTGGGTTTCTTGTGTTTGATTTGATTTCATGGTGTTTTGTTCATGGTATAGATTACCATGTATATCACCTTGATGTGTAGTGGGCCATATGATCTTCGTCTGCGTACGTACACTCTGACAGTCTCACAAAGGTGAAGCCACCTGAGGATGCATCTCTCAGAGCGTAGCCTCATCATTAAGCAACTTGTGACTATATCTTTTCCCATCCTTTTATGTACTTTTAGGTTGAAAGTGAGTCCTTTTGTACACAGGACATAGTTGATCCTGTATTTTTATCCATTCAGTGATCTATGGTTTTTAATTAAGAAATTTAACCATTTACATTTAAAGCAATTACTGGTAGAATTTACTATTGCCATTCTACTAATTGTTTTCTATATGTCTTACAGTTTTTATCCCTCCTTTCCACTCTTGCTGTCTTTTTTGTGCTTTGCTGAAAATTTTTTTTGTAGTGACATGTTTTGATTCTCTTTCTCATTTCTTTTCTGTCAATTTTAGCTTAGTGGTTACTATTGAAATTATATAAACATATTAAAATTATAAGGATGTATTTAAACTGGTCACAACTGAACATCAATCACATTTCTTTACATCTCTGGAATTCTTTCTCCACTTTATGTTACCTTCTTATGTTGCATCCATCAACATAGATTTATTGGCTGGGATGTAGCTGGGTGGTACAGCACTTGCCTAGCATGCGTGAGGCCCCGGGTTCAATGCCAGCACCAAAAAAGAAAAGACAAAAAAAAAAAACCTCTCCCCGTTAACATAGATTTATAATTACTTGTGCTTTTATTTCCTAAATTCTGTACCAGATTTCAAAGTTATTTACACACCTACATTAAAAAATAAAAAGATTTTATAAATTTCTCTCTATTTGCCTTCACTGTGAAGTTTTATATGTTTTTGCATGGTTTGGTGTTACCCTTTTGTTTCAACTTGAAGGACCCCCATTAGCATTTCTTGTAGGGTGGGGTTCCTGGTGACAAGTTCTCTCAGCTTCTGTTTGTCTGGGAAGCTCTCAACGTCTCCTTCATGTCTGAAGGACTGTCTCTCCAACATAGCATTCTTGGTTGGCAGTTTTTTTTTTATTTCAGCACTCTAGCATCCCATTTCCTTTCAGCCTACCTGGTTTCTGTCAAGATATCTGCCTCTAATCTTATAGGATGAATAAAAACCTGAAATAAAATAAGTGGCTTTCATATAGTAGTGTATACTTTTATACTTAAAATAGTTTACATTTAAAGAGTTGATTTACATGTAGATTTAATACAACTTATCCCAGTTACTGTCTTTTTTTATTTTAAGTTTTTTTTTTTGGCAGCACTGGGTAAGAGTGCTAGGCAGGCACTCTTACCGCGTGAGCCACTCCGCCAGCCCCTGGTTACTGTCTTCTAAAGAGAGCCAAGGCCCTGGAACAGCAGGGAAAAGAAGGAGGCTCTGGACCAGCACACCAGGTTCCAACTCTTTGTTAGAAGGTTCCATTGAGATGAGTTTCCTGGCTGGTGGAGTGGCTCAAGTGGTAGATCACCTGCCTAATAAGCATAAAGCCCCGAGTTCAAACCCCAGTAGCACCAAAAAAAAAAAACAAAAAAAAACCCACCCCAAAGAGATGAGTTTCCTACACTTCTAAAACCAGGATCCATGTCAGAGTTTTTATAAGGACCAAATGCAATGATATTTGTATAAACATATGTGAGATCAGGTACAATTGGTATTGTAACTATTTCAGTAATGCTCACCATAAGGAATGTTCTTTAATTAATTAATTTTTGGTAGTACTGGTGCTCTACCACTTGAGTCAAAACCCCAGCCTTTTTTGGCTTTAGTTATTTTTTTTAGATAGGGTCTCACACTTTTTCCCCAGGGCCAGCCTTGGACTGTGATTCTCCTAACTATGCCTCCCACAGAGCTGAGATTATAGGCATGCACCACCATGCTTAGCTTGCTTGTTGAGCTACTTTTTTTTTTTTTCCTAGAAATGTTGTTTAGATTTTACAGCATTTGGCATGCTGTTAATCTTCATGTCTGTTTGGGAAGAAATGAGCAAGCAGTGCAGACTTGTCATGCTCTGAATCCCACCTCTCCACAGAGTTGCCAGTCTCCTGCTACGTATGGCCACACGGCCCCGACCTCACAGTGTTTGTTTGTTCTAGTGGACAAGAATAACTGTGAAAACATTCACGTTGCATGAGTGCCACTGTCAAGCCCGTTGTCGATTATTTTTCTTCTTTTCTGTGTTTGGGCTGTGAGCCGAGCCTGATGGAGGGGCTCGTGTACTCTGTGAGGAAGAGCTGCGAAGATGAAAGTGAAGATGCAGAGCTGGAACCTGGACAATTATGTCCGTGAAACCAAGTTTGACTTACAGGGAGTTCCAAGAAATTATGATCCTACTTTACATCCTTTTGAGGTCCCACAAGAGTATGTAAGAGCTTTAAATGCTACCAAACTGGAACGTGTATTTGCAAAAGCATTTCTTGCTTCCTTGGATGGTCACCGAGATGGAGTCAATTGCCTGGCAAAGCATCCAAAGAGCCTAGCTACCGTCCTTTCTGGGGCATGTGATGGAGAGGTTAGAATTTGGAACCTGACTAAACAAAAGTGGATCCGTACAATACAAGCACATGAAGGTTTTGTAGGAGGAATATGTACTCGCTTTTGTGGGACTTCTTTTTTTACTGTTGGTGATGACAAAACTGTGAAGCAGTGGAAAATGGATGGACCAGGCTATGGAGAAGAAGAGCCCTTGCATACAATATTAGGAAAGACAGTGTATACTGGAATTGATCATCACTGGAAAGATCCTGCTTTCGTCACATGTGGTCAGCAAGTAGATATTTGGGATGAACAAAGAACCAGTCCTATATGTTCAATGACCTGGGGATTTGACAGTATAAATAGTGTTAAATTTAACCCAATTGAGACATTTCTTTTGGGAAGTTGTGCTTCTGACAGGAATATAGTATTGTATCATATGAGGCAAGCCACTCCTCTGAAAAAGGTTATCTTAGATATGAGAACAAATACAATCTGTTGGAATCCTATGGAAGCTTTTATTTTTACTGCAGCAAATGAAGATTACAACCTATACACTTTTGACATGCGTTCACTGGACACTCTGTTATGGTCCATATGGATCATGTATCTGTAGTGCTGGATGTGGACTACTCTCCCACTGGGAAAGAGTTTGTGTCTGCTAGTTTTGATAAATCTATTCGAATCTTTCCTGTGGACAGAAGTTGAAGTGGGGAAGTCTATCACACAAAGTGAATGCAATATGTTATCTGTGTAAAATGGACTTCTGACAGTAAATACATTATGTGTGGATCTGATGAAATGAACATTCGTCTGTGGAAAGCTAATGCTTCTGAAAAATTGGGTGTGCTCACATCACGAGAAAAAGCAGCCAAGGATTATAACCAGAAGTTAAAGGAGAAATTTCAGTATCATCCTCATGTAAAAGGTATTGCTCATCATCGACATTTACCAAAGTCTATCTATAGCCAGATTCAGGAGCAGCACATCATGAAGGAAGCTCGTGGGCGAAAGGAAGTAAATGGTCATAGACACAGCAAGCCTGGATCTGTGCCAATTGTGTCAGAGAGGAAGAAGCATGTAGTGGCTGTTGTGAAATAGTATTTGGTGGTCCTACCAGTTCCAATGTATAATTATTTGTTATTTTTGATTTGGGAAATATATAAATAAAAGTACTGGCTCTAGTTTAATAGTAAAAAAAAAAAAAAAGAATAATTGTGAAAACATTCACATTGCATGAACGCCACCGTCAAGTCCGTTGTCGATTATTTTTCTTCTTTTCTCTGTTTCCTGGGCAGCTCTTGAAATCCCACTGGCTGGACAATTTTGCAAAAGACACTGTCAACCCCGGCGTCATGGTGTTGCTGGGCTGTGGAGCCTTGTCCAGCACCTGTGGGCAGCTGGCCAGCTATCCCTTGGCTTTGGTGAGGACTCGCATGCAGGCTCAAGGTGAGGTTTTGGTCGTTGTTACATTTTTATTAGCGTTTATTAGTTGTCCAGGGGGGTTTCATTGTGACATTCCATATGTGCTTACAAGGTACCTTGGATAGCTTCACCCCTCCATCATCTTCTCTCACCCACCTCCCTCCATTCTTAAGGCAATTTCAACAGGTTTCATTGTCCTGTTTTCATACGATTATACAAACTACATCAAAAAGATGAGGTTTTGATTAAAACACTGATCAGTCAAGTGCTTTTACAACTCCACGTTCCACCGGCACAGCCAAAGGTAGTTTTAAGGTGGAATTTCTCAATCGTTTTTTTCATTATTGCCTCCCTAAGGTTTCTTTTAAGAAATTCTTTTTCTAATATCTCCCTCTACATAAAAATTTAATGCCACAGACATACCACATGTAGATGCATGATCCATATATAAACAGAGTAAGACTTTTCTTTTATTTTACTGTGTTGAATGCATGTTTAAGAGTCTAAGGTTTGGTATCTAGATGAATTTTGGTTTAGATCCATGCCCCAAATCTGGGTTTTCATTTTTTCTTCTGTGAAATAGATTCAAAGCACCTGGTACCTGTTAAATTCTGGCTGCAATTGTTGGTATTAGTGTGTCTTGGAGCTCGTCCTTTTTCTTTTGGGAGTACTTGGGTTTGAACTCAAGGCCTTGGCTTGCTAAGCAGGTGCTCTACCACTTGAGCCACTGCCCTGGAAGTTTTTGCTTTAGATATTTTTGGCACAGGGCCTTATGCTTTTGCCCCAGGCTGTCCTGAACCAAGATCCTCCTGTTTACATCTCTCTTGTAGCAGGGATGACAGGCACGTGCCACCATATCCAGCTTTTTGGTTGAAATGGAGTCTTGATAACTTCTTGCCTGGGCTGGCCTCCAACTGGCGATCCTCCCAATCTCTGACTCCCAAATAGCTGGCATTACATTACATTACAGGGGTGAGCAACTTTTGAACGCCTTACTGTGACACTGTCTCCTCCACTGGCTTTGATTACACTGTGTTCTCCTGGTTCTTCTGCTAGCTTGTCGGTTATTCTCTTCTTAGTATTTGCTACACTCACTCTACGAAAGCATGCATTCTGTGCTTTCCCTTTTTCTTTTTACTATTTCCCTGGTCGGTCCCACCCACTGCTATTTCTTTTAATAGTGCATTCTGGGCTTCTATAGTTCCATCCTCAACCTGTCTTCCAAGTGTCCTTTAACCAAACTTACTTGTTGACAAATCCTTCTTGAGCCTGGCTGGGTGCTGAGCACTCTGCCAGATGCCAGGGTTAGAGCACTCAACAAACTGACTGTGGTCACTGCCACTGTGGAATTAGCGAAGTCATATTAAGTAAATAGTTGCATTAAAACACCTCCCCTTTGTTAGGGGAGCACAGGGCAAGGGCTGTGCCCTAACTCCAGCCGGGAGCTAGCAGGACACAGGCAGGTGCATAGGGTAGGAAAAAGCATCCCAGCCTGAGGAAAAGCACGTGTGGTGACACTGAGGCAGGAGCCAGGTGCACGTCGGAGGAGCTGAGAAACTTCCCTGTGTCTTCTCTCATCATAACCATTTGGGAACCTGATATGAGTATTATCCACATTCTGGTGGAGAAAGAGACATTAAAGAACTTGCACGAGGTTAGATATCTGGTAAATAGTGCAGCTAGAATTCAATCCCCAGCAGTTTGATTCAAATTGCTGCCCAGCAAGCCTCCCCTGCTCTGGTCTGCCAGATCCAGTCCAGGCCTTCACATGGCTGCCAGATTTGTCATTTCCAAAGTCAAGGTCTCATCATTTCAGACCCTCTGAGACATCTTGTAACACTTCAGTGTCTTCAGAGTAAATGCCAAAGCTCCTAGCAGGAATCCCTAAGCCTTTAGTGATGCAGCCTCAGTTTAGTTTTAGCTCCACTTCCCCACCCCTACCATGCCCCTTGCTGCATCTTGGTGCTCTGTGTGTAATAACCACGTCCACTGGTCACCGGGGTCCCCTTGCCCTGCCCTTGACTTTGTGGTGTCAGCAACACAGCCTTTTCTTTCCCTTTTTCTTACCTGTTGAATTCATTTTCAAGGCCAAGTTCCTCTATACCCTTTCCTAAGCTTCCCAGGGTCTCCCCTCACTTGCTCTATTTTCCATTTCTATTAATTTCTTTCTCTTTAGTCCTCGGATAATAAGGGAGGAGACAGACAGAGCAGCCTGGGGGAAAGTATATGACTTTAGAGTCACAGACCATGAGTTCTTGGCTCTACCACTTGCCAGCTGCATGCTTTCGGACAAGTTTCTCCATCTTTCCAAGCTTCTAATTCCTCATTTATAAAGCAGATATATTTACCTTGTAGGGTCGCATAGAAAGTCATTAACCCAGTATCAAGCAGATAGTAACCTCTCAATAAAGAACTGTTATAACTGCCATTATTATAGCCTTACAAGCAGAATCAAACACCTGTTGGAATATACTTTATCATTTCACTATATTCTAGATATTCTGATTCCTAACTGTTCATTACAATGATAAATACGCTCGAATGATTTAATTGTATAATATATATTATTATAATGAGTTTGAAACATGCATGAATATTAAAGTAGTCTTTCAAACATATTTTCTAGCCATGGTAGAAGGCGCTCCTCAGCTGAACATGGTTGGCCTTTTTCGACGAATACTTTCCAAAGAAGGACTCCCCGGACTCTACAGGGGCATCACCCCAAACTTCATGAAGGTGCTCCCGGCTGTGGGCATCAGTTATGTGGTGTATGAAAACATGAAGCAAACTTTAGGTGTCATCCAGAAATGACATGTTGAACTTTTCCCTTTAGCATGATTATTGGAATTGTCTACATGCTCTGGAGTGACTTCTAGAATTGCAACAAGATGATGGCAAAAGAAGCTGTGGTTTTAATTGTTTTTCCACAAAGGGGAAGAGCTTATCAATGATCACTTTAGACATTTGGGTTCACTTTCATATATTCAGCAATGTTGAAAATCATTGTTTTAGTAAGTTTTGGAAAAGTCATGAAATTGTACTCTATCTTTTCTGATTAGTCCTTCTGCAGATCTGTGGCCCTGAATGCTAAATTGGAAAATGTTCTTGCTTGAACTTATTTGTTTTGTGTGGTAGAATTATAAGTCACTAATCTTTCAAATGTATGCCAATTTCTTTTTACCTAAGGGTCTATTTAAAAAAAAAACAGAAAAAAATGACCAGAAAAGCGAGACTTAAATTGTTTCACATATTTTGAATGTCTTCATAGATGTCTTAAACTTGTCTTATAGAATGAGTAATAGAAAATCATTGCATTTAAAATATACTTTATAGCAGCTAAATAACTATAGGGTTTAACATCCTTATCTTTTCTTTAAGTAGAAAAGGAAGGAATATAGGGACAAAATCTGTACAAAGGAACAATGAAATAATATTTATTTCAGAGCGGGTATTTTTTCATTTTGCTTGTACTGTTCCTGGTATTACAGTGATCGTCACATTATTGTTAAATTATCAACACAAGATATTTACATGAAGATTGTGTTTGTTCTACCATTGCTTTTAAGAAGAAGCGCTTTTCCCTGTATCTGTTTTGAGGAGCATCTCTCTTTTGTTTACCTATTTTTTGGATCAGATTCTGTTTTATCAGGAAGGCTTCTTGGGACTATCCTTGGTCATCCAAAATTTCTCTCCTAGTGACATCAAGTGTTCATCCGGGTGAATGACATGCCTGTTTTCCCTTCAATGCTGAATTTTTTGAACCTGCCGTTCTTAATCCAGGCAGCATCCTGAAGCTGAGAATAGCACATAGTAAGAGTAGCCTATTTTAATTGCCTACATTAAACGGAATGCCCAATTTGTAAACATATACATCCAGATTTTTCACTTGCCTCAAGTTTTAGGAACAATGTGATTGAAAGCCTGATTTATAATACCGGTGGCATTTAAAATTTTTTACTGAAGTCATTTTCATAGTCAACTATTTTCCTGATTTATGTGATTAGAACTTACAATTAGTTGAAGTTATCCTTAATACTTTTAAACTTAGCTCCTAAGTGCATTTGATTCTAGTAATTCATTGTAAAAGGCCATCATTTTCATGAATGTGTAGTGACAAAAGAGGCATTTACTTTTTTTAAACCTACTTCTTTTATCTTTTGAACCAAAGAGAAAGGACAGACTTGTGTTTGTGGAACATATTCTAAATTATAGTTTCATTTATATTACTTATGCCTGGTATGTGTATCAGCATTTTTATACTACATTTGGTAAGCCAGGGACTCTATCTACAGGGTTATTTGTACTTTTGAGTAACACATAAAATGACATATTAAGTGCATAATTAGTTCTTTTTTTATTCACAAAAATTACAGAAACAAATAATTGTGCCAAGATTTTTAAAATTTCAAGCTGGTGAAAGTATTCTCACTTCATTATGAATTTAAATTGTTTGCTAGTGAACATTTGTGCAGCATGAATGTGGTTTATCTGTGCATCTTCTATCTTTTGAAACAATAATTTTATATCTTTTGGAAAAAAGACCCAAGCTGAAGATAGCTTATTTCTGGCATTACTGCATATTTACTTCCCATTTATATTAAAAATATGCTTGTTTTTAAAATGACTTGTTTCCTAATTTTGAAAAGAACTTTAAATAATGTAGAAACGGACCCACTGCTGAGATCATCAATGGTTTGGAAATACTTTTTCACACCCGGCTTCAGGTGGTCATTGTAAATATTTGGCCTTTCCTCAATAGCTGTCTCATGCTTTGGTGTAAGATACTACTTTTTATTACATCCAAATTCCACATTTACCAAGGAGGGCTACAGCCATGGGGGTTCACAGTGTTAAGAAGAATCCAAAGCTATAGGATTAGCTCAGCCATCCTGGTGTGGGGTATGTTTATCGTGAGACTGTGGTAAACAAAATCTGAGTTTACTGGTAAGTAAATTAAAAAAAAAAAGTTATAATGCAGGTTATAAGTAAGAAAAAATTGTCTTAAAAAAATCAAACACGACTGCAGAGAAAGTCTGCATTTCAAGTTCAGTACAACCCAGACACCAGAAACAGCATTACTACTCTTGTTTCCCTGTCAGGAACTCTCATACACTGCTGGGGGGATGCAAATTAGTACAACCACTATGGAAAACAGTATGGGGGTGCTTCAAAAGACTAAAAACAGAACTGCCATATGCTCCAGCAATACCACTCCTAGGAATATACTGGAAGGAATATGTCAGGTTACAATAAAGACACACATGCTTATTGCAGCACTATTCTCAATAGCCAAGCTATGGAAATAGCCAAGATGCCCCACTACTAATGAATGAATTAAGGAAATGTGGTACTAATACACAATGGAATTTTACTCAGCCACAAAGAAGAATGGAATTTTGTCATTTGCAGGTGAATGGATGGAACTGGAGAGCATCATCTTAAGTGAAGTTAGCTAAGTTCAGAAAGCCAAAAGCCACATGTTTTCTCTCATCTGTGGAATATAGACCCAATAAAATGCAAGCAATATTATGTACACATACAAATATATACAGAACATGTACCCCCAAATGGGACAGGTAGAGGAGACTAGGGGAAGAGGAAAACAAAAAGTTTCGGCTTCATGCAAACAGGGGTTGTGTTAGTAGTGATTTGTTCTTTGAACTTCACATCAAGTCACATGTGAAAGAGTGGCATGGCTTCCTCATCCCCTGACAAGAGTTTGACCATCTCTTTAGTCCTCAAGGAATTTCCTTTTTGGAGAAGAACACCACAAGAGCACTGGCATTTGCGGAGGGAGCACCAGCAACTCATCTTCCCCCTCTTTGTCACAATCAGGGGAGAAGCATGGGGCACCAGATCATATGTGGGAGAACTCTAGCATGTTCTGTCTGCCCACTCTTTCCACAGAACAGAGCTGGGCTGAACAGGACAGTGCCCTTCACAGCCCACTGGAGGACGTTGTGGAAGTGCAGTAGAAAAGCATGCTGTTCGGGCATCTATGAGCCCCAGACCTTCGGCCACCGCCACTACAGTGTCATTTGCTGTGAAGACAGAAGTCCCTCAAGCCAAGGCTGCCTAAATATCATCCCACTGGCATTCACTCACTCATTTGTTCTTTGAGTATTTATTAAGCACCTACTGTGTGCCAGACAAAGCATTGAGCAAAAGACTCAGTGCCTGTTGTCATGGAGTGATGTAATGGGGAGAAGCAGACAGCAAACAGACTATGTCAGGTTGTGACAGTGCCTGGGGCAGAGCTGGGATTGCACTGTCAGTTTAAAAAACAGAAGACCCTGCCGAGAAAGTCCTAGATGGAAGAGGGCAGGGAATGGCTTCACAGGTGTATAGGAAGAGCAACCAGGCACCCATGTCTGCAGATGGAAAGGCATGGAGAGGCCAGTGGCTGGCGAGCCAGGAGGACAGAGAGCGGCACAGGGAGGTCTATTACTGGACAACTGTCTGGCTTTTGTTTTCTTTTCACTTTCTAGTTCTGCAGGAAGAACAGCTCCTTGGTGGTGTCACCTAAACAAGATTCAAACATATCTTCTCTGGGGGGCTTATTGTCAGAAGTATTGGAGAACAGCCATTCCCAGGAACCAAACATTTCCATCACAGGCAGAAGAGTTTCCTCAACACAGCTCATTCCCTGAGTAGCAAGTCTATTGGCCTCTCTTTCTCCAGAGAGAATTTTAAATCTCAATTAGCTTAGGGACCTTAAAATCTAAATAATTTCCTAAGAATCACAGAGAAGTTTAATGCTAGCAAACTAAAAAGGCTTGGGTTGTCTTCTCTTCCTTCTCTGATTGCCTTCCATCTGCCTATAGTTTGTGTATTTTGCAGTGCTGGGAGCAATCCTTTATTTATTTTTGGTTAGTTTATAGTGTCCTGTTTTGAATCCACTTGCAGGGAGTCAGATAATGATAACAAACAAGTGGTTTGTATTTTGTTACTCCTGAAGGAGGGGCTGGCCAGGAAGACTACAGCATTCTAAAGTCAGCTCATCACAGATGGCTGGTGTTCATTCCCCAGTCGGCCATGTCTTCCAGAAGTTTGAGCTCACCTCTTTACATCAGTTCTACAACAGTCTTGGCCCAAGGCTCAAGGTGGATTAGTCTGAACCCAGCTCCTATCATCAGTGTCCACTGCAGAATGCATCACTCAGCCAGCCTTTGTCACCTTGCAGGAGGTCCCCACATGCACCTTAGTGCACCACCTGGGAAGTACGAAAACATAACTTTTCCTTATTCTTTTTACATTAAGTTAATGTAACTTAAGTTACATAAGAGCTGGAAGCTCCTATGCCACTCAGTGATGAGCCAGTGAGCTGGGGTTTTGGCCCCCTGGCACTGGTCATGGTCCTCATCAGTCACTGCCAAGGGCAGATTACAGGTATGTACCACCAAGCCCAGCACTTCTGTCTTTTGGAATACCTAAGTTGTCTACAGAGCAATGTCAGGGGTACTATAGAGGTACAAAAGTCTGAGGCTGATCCTGGGCAAAAACACAACCCTATCTAGAAAAACAAAAAACTGTAAAAGCAAAACAAAGCAGGAGCGGGTCGGGGTATAGCTTAAGTGGTAGAGCACCTGCCATGGGTTGTTTGTTTTGTTTTCACATAAACCATAGATCATTCCACCTACTGAATTTCAAATCCCCCAAATTTCATTGGTATATGCCAATGTGGATTTCATGACCAGACAAGTCAATAAACAATTGTCATACTTTTGAGGATGGAGGCGTGGCTCAAGTGGTAGAGAGCCTGCCTAGCAAGCACAAGGCCCTGAGTTCAAACCCCAGTACCACCAAAAGAATAAAAAGAAGAAGAAGAAGAAAAGAAAGTTCACGCTTTTTAAGGGCTCAGGGGAAGAGGCAGGATGTGTAAAAAAGGTTAATAAACTTGGTTGTAATGTGGGAAAAAGTGATAAGAATTTGGAGTCTAGAACTGTTTCTAAATCTTTGCTAGTTTGAGGATTTTCCTTCTACAGACTCCTTTTCCCTCATTCACTTGCCCATCTTGTCCTTGAACTTTCCACTTCAGTCTGCTTCTGAGGGAACACAAACTAATGCTGCCCACCACAGATGGATCTGGACGTAGCAGCAGAAACATTTAGAGAGATGTTGCAGAAGAAAACACCCGAGGAAGCAACTAACAGAACTACATGTACAGCACAAGACCGGAGGTGGAAAGGAGTGGTACAGAGGACTGTGCCTCCAAATACATTAATATAAATTAAAATTTAAAATGTAAAGCAAACTGGAATAATGTGACAAGAAATGAAAAGAAGAAAGCCCCAACTGATGTGAGTGGCCTGGCCTGGGCTCTCTCTCTCACCTCCTCAACTTCACCTGAATGTGTCAGTCATTTTCCGAAGGCAGCCATAGACTAAAACATGGCTCACTGCATAGATCAGAACAGATGGAACGTATTCTCTGTGCAGAAATTTATGACACACTGTGTGTTACTTTAATCATTGTGTCAGGGGGTTAGTATCTTCTCATCCTGGACTTTTGCTATTTTATAGGAAAAAGCACAAAGAATACATTGATGATCACTGTAGAAACGACAAAGGATTTGTTAACTAAAACACTGAGCACTTTATGTGACACTACTTTATGAAGAAGTACCTTATACATGGTGCCACTGTGTAATTTTCATAAGTAGAAAGGAGCATTTTGTGTCCTGACCTGGAAAGTAGGTGTTTAATATTCTGCTAGGCCACCCTGATTTCAATGGAAGCTTTGGTCCATGACCAGAAACACTCTTGGTAGAAGCATTTTTAAGAAGTTTAATTGACTCCCAGTGATTATGAATATTTAGGGGGTACAGTGTGATGTTTTGATACAAGCACAGAGCATTTCTTGAAGTCTATGGGGCTCAGGCATCGATGCTCTCAGTGCTAGCAATGTTAGTGGCCTCAATTTTCCACTAGGTGGCAGACTTCTCCCAGCTAGCTCCATGGACTAGGAGAGGAATACAAAGCTTTACCACTTTGCTTTCTCTCTTTGCCTTGACCTGGAAAATCACTGGGCTATCCTGGAGGCCAGATTTTCTGCATAAACCACTTTGCCTTGTTTAGAGGAGTGAAATTAGGGTCAGCCTGTCACCATTTTGGAAGAGAGGGTGACAAAGGAGGCCCTTGATGTGTAGCACTGAAGGGAAGGGCTTGTTCTTACCTTTTTAGACATTTTTCAAAACCAGAAAAATTCCACACTTCACAAGTCAACTTAGAAATGATTGAAAGAACAAATGTGACTTCATATGCAGAGTCAAAGGTAAATATTCATTTTTGAAAATCATAACCATAGAAAATATTTTGGGATATTTGTTTTCTGGTGTGATATTTTTTCATTTGCCTAAAATAATTTGAGAAGTTCAAACTTGTAGTACAAGAGTGGTGAAATAAGAGCAAAAATAAAATAAAATAAACAAGTAATAAAACACACTACAAAATTTGGTTTTCTCCATTCCCTCTTTGGGATTTTTTTTTTTTTTTCTACAAGTGTTGTTTTCATTCATTTGCGGGTGCTCTGGTTGACATGTTTTAAAAGAAATAAAATTTGGCCTTCATAGTAACACAAGCTTATTTGGTTGTATCTCTAGAATAATAAGCATCAAAGAAAAGAATTTAATAAGAAAATCAGGCAACTCAATCTTTGTATCTTTCAGATTCATCTGGACTATCCTTTAGGTCCAAGAAACAAGTAGAAATAGAAATTTCAGTCAAAGAAAAATAGGCTGTGGTAGGG